AAAAGTATCCAGTTGGAAACATTGATCAAAGACTGCAAACTTGAATGACGAAGTATTAGATCAACGTCTCAATTTGGTTACTTTATAATTTCTACCAAGTTATCTATAGTTCTAAGAAATTCAACTGTGATTTTTGAAAACAAAAGTATCTTGATATTTTATGGAGGTTTAATTCTATTGTTGAGGAAATCATTTAAACGTTGAGTTCGTTTTTAACAACGAGAAATGAATTACTAACTATGTTGACGTTGAAGGTAAAACTACCATAGAAACTCCATTTTGAAGTTAGTCATAGTAAGGATTGAAGACCTTGAAATTGTAATTTGAATAGAACACCCCTCCATGAAATTACTCAGACTAGTGTGTGGGTTGTGCAAGAATAGTTGAATACATAAGAGAATAGCCCATCGTGGTATATAAAGTTCACAAAGTGGAAGGCAGCTTGAGATTTTCACATTAGCTCAATTTCAATGACAAACTTAACAAAACAATATTTCTCTAGTTTGTTCAGACAAAGAGAGCCCAAGTTAAACTTCAGAAGAAGTTGCTTGGGGAGCGAAGAGACAAAATCATTGCAATCCTCAAAACATATGCAATATGTTTGTGTGGGGGACCATGAGACATGTTAGGGATTAGCGGGTCGTTACCACACATGAATTAACATTTGACCCGACTCGCTCTCCGATTAAACAACGAAAGAGATATCATGTGTTGGTGGGTGTAGTCCAATGGATGACCATCCACCCCCAAATCTCTCCTTTGTGAGAAATCCCCACAAGGAAAGAGGAGGGAAGTCTTGCTCCTCCACCTAAAAAAACGAAAGAGATTTCTTTGTTAGGTTCGAAGAGAACTTCTAACTTCGTGGATTGAAGTGAGGTCACCTTTGCTCCATACTTTTGTCCATATGGTATAGGGGTGTAGTAATGTAGTTGAAGGGTTCAATTGGGCCCAAGCCTCCGAGTTGGATAACATTTTTTTATATTGTGTAAAAAACATATGCAAAAAATATGTTAAAATTTATTTACATAAGACTACTCTGTATAAATTGCTCCTTATCAATGGGATATATAGCCGAGACGAAGTGCCTAGAGTGGTTCGGGAATGTGGCTCTCAAACCTAAATTTCCAACCTTGTAGATGTGCTTAACTTATCTAAATAGAGCTTATAATATAAATTAATTCTAATTGCCAAATGTAGATTGTTATGGGAAGAAAAACAACTGAGTGTGAATTATTATCATTTATGAGATGCTAATCATACTGAAGAGGATACTAAGAAAATGAGTGAAGGGCTAATATGTGCATGATGACATGTTTAAAGGCTTAAAGCCTTAAATTTCCGGTGTACATCAAGGGCTGGTTTCCCCAAAAGAATATGTTTGAAGTATGTATTTTAGCTTTTAGTTTTTAACTAATATCCCAACCCAATATAATACTCCGTATATATTCTTACACATAAAGTTAGTACTGCGTGCTTGAACGTTCAAGTTTAGTTAAAGGCTTTTATGATTTTTTTGTCTAGTGAGAGACATATTAACATTATAAATACATTAAGAATTTTAAAACCTTTTGATATTAATTTAAAAGTACCTTAAGTTTATTTCATCATTCATCATTTTCATTTACCCCAGTGTCGCAAAGGCTCTCACCTACGGTGGGGTAAGGGGGTCAAATGTACACAGTCTTACCTCTGTACTAAAGCACAAAGAGACTGTTTTCGGATGACCCATAGTGAAAATCGCGTCCAAAATTGCATAGACTGACTGCTGCTTTATAACAAAGAAGCGCAGACAGTTTAGTGAGCCATTTTGCTTTATTCCATCGTATTCTCAAGTCAAAAAATAATGAATCTTGGGCTTCATTGCAAAAAAATATTTCCCATGCACTGTGTGGGCCAGTGGAAATCTAGTCCTTTTGTTGCGGGCCGGGCCACAACAATGAGCACATATTTTACGAAGTAGAAAAAGTTCATCCCAAGTTCAATCTGAACCCATTTTTGAGGTGTTAAAATTGGCAATTGAGGTATTGGGCAAGTGGGTAAAATATAGGGCTTGACGTGCACTTTGTCGTGAGGTGCACTCAAAGTAATAATACAATACGACACTAATACGTAGTATAGTGTAGTAAGGTTCGTATCCACAGGGAAAGGAATACTTTTCTTCTTACAGAAATAGATAAGTAACAATAAGGGGGGTTTATATTTGGTTGATGAACTTTAAATTATATTTAAATACGAAGATGAACGAGTTATGTGGTTTAATTAATGAGAAGAAGACTTGGCTTTGCTTTTATCCACTTAATGAAATGTTCGTCGATCCCGGTTATATCTTTAACTATCTTCCTCTCGAATACTCAATCGAGGAGTATATCCAATTCATCGAGGGTAGTTATTAATAACGAGACGCGTTCATTAATAAAACTTACTACCGAGTTAATATAGAACACGCGCCGTATATTCACTCGATAGTAGCAATAAAATCAAGATGAAAACGATTGAGATTGATAACCTCAACACAAGCGGTTTATTGGTTTAATCAATATAATTAATTCCCCTTGGTTTATTAACCATGAAACGCATGCATTAATAACCCAAGTTTACTACCGCGAAAGGACCGAATTAATAACAAGCGTATTAATCGACCGATTCTAGTAATAATTAATATATGAAACAAAACTAGTTGATCCTTTAAGTAATGTTCAAAATATTAATATAAAATATGAATAGGAATTAATTAATACTCAAGGAAGAATATTAAAGAAGATGAATCCTACTATAGTTAATATCAAGATGTTAACTAATTGTCATCTTATTAACACTCCCCGATATTAACGTAGAGGAAGAAATAACTATTACTATAACTAATGTCAAGATGTTAACTAATTGTCATCTTAGTAACACTCCCCAACATTGATATAGAAATAGTATTTAAAGAAAGAATTAATATTCAAGGAAGAAGATTAAAGATAATAACTCACAACTTACAAATTCATTAAGCTTCAAAGTAGCAAAACCAAGATGGAAGAGTTTAGCTCCTCATTTGGAGACTAAACATGATAGAAAATATAAAGAAAACACTAATCTAAACTGAGCTAAAGAGTATATGTGAATTAGTGATTTTATTGTGAAGGAAAGGGGTGTATTTATAGGCTTTTGGGAGCTGCAGGGTCTGATACCCGACCGGGTATATAGGATACCCGACCGGGTATCTCAGGAAATTGCCCAGAAAGTGATTTTTCTGGGCATACCCGATCGGGTAAGGGTATATACCCGATCGGGTATGTGACAAATCTTTATGAAAATTTGCTCCCACGATCATTTGTCTTCGGATTTGATTTGGACAGTCGAATCAAGCAATTACCCGATCGGGTATAGGCAATACCCGACCGGGTACATGAGTATTTTTTCCAAATCGAAATCTTTCTTGTCTCCTTGCACTTTCCTTGATCTTTTAAGGTCCAATCTTGATCCCTTAGATGATCTTTGACCTGTTTAGCTCAGAAAAATCCTAATCTAACTAAATTACAAATAAAAATGCAAATAAAGTATTACACCAAAAGTGTGTAATTTTCACAACTAGAACTAATAAAAACTAGTTAAAAATACAAATATACAATTGGAAATTACATGAATATCAGGGCTCGTTTGATAGTTTACACATTAAAATTTTGCACACAAAATGAATGCATGCAAAGTTTAGAAAAACAATAACTTTGTATGTAAAAAATAGATTTTAACTAGCTGTCTGATTTGTTTTTAATTTGTACACAAAGATGTTGCAATTATGTATAAAAAGCATGTAAAATATCTTATTAACCTCGTTTTGTAAAATACTTTACATGATACAATATGAAATGTTTATAAAAATTAAAATACAATTTACATTAAATAATGAAATCAAATGGTTTCTTTCAAAAAAGAATGAAATCAAATGTTGTAAACCTTTTACATCTCTTCATTTGAAATGCAAAATACTTCCTGATTATTTTACATGCTACTATCCTAGCATATGTTTTTTTTGCATAGGGTTAGTTTGAGTTTGCACCCCATTTTATCGTGAAAATTGAACTTTGCATTCCGTTTTTAAAAATTTTGTTTTTGCACCCCAACTCCATATGAAAAAGACAAAGTACCCCTCCATTAGCAATTTTGTTGTTCAACATATTCTTGGTTGAGTGCATACCCTACCAGATCATATGCATATGATCTGTTCTTATTTCCCTAGAACAAGTGTTTACCCTACCTAAAACATCCCAAAACATTTTCCTTACTATCCTCAACACTAGGGGTGTGCACGGATCGGGTTCGGGTGGGTCGGGTTTGCGAACCCTAAACCCGTTCGGTTTTTTTTAATTTAAATACTAGGCCCGACCCTTTCATATTTCAAATCGAGTATTTCAGATATTTTTAAGTCGGATATATCGGATATCGGGTCGGGTTTCAGATATATTAAAAAAAATATAATTGAATAATTAAAGTGTTCAAATGCCACTTTGACAAAAATTGTACACACTAGTGCACTAAACTTCCAAGTTACACAAATAATTTAACACAAATTGCACAAATAATTACACAAATAATTGAACACAAGTACTAATTTAACATATTCAAAGTACATACTACATAATTTCGGATATTGAACACGAGTATATTTCGAATATTTTGGTTATATCAAAGCACATTATAATTGGATAGTTAAAGTGTTGGAACGCCACATTAACAAAAATTGTACACACTAGTTCACTACACATTCAATGTACACAAATAATTTAATAGAAATTGCACAAATAATTCAACACAAGTATTAATTTAAATATTAAAAGTACACACTAACATATATTTCGGATATTCGGGTGTGTCGGGTTGGGATTTCACAAACCCTACCCGCCACCCGGTCTAGGCCCAATACTAATCGGATTTTCGGTTTCGAGTTTTTCGGATCGGATATCCACTTCGGTTCGGATAATATCCAAAAAAATATGGGGTTTTTCGGGTCGGATAGGGTTTTGCTCAGCTCTACTCCACACCCATCCAAAGGAAGAGTTTATTTTCAATAACCTCAGGACTCAAAAGGCAGGAGAACGGGACAAAGAAGAGATGAACAAGAAGGAGGTGCTGAAGCTAGCGAAGGGGTTTAGAGGGAGGGCGAAGAACTGTATAAGAATAGCAAGGGAGAGGGTGGAGAAGGCGCTTCAGTACTCCTATAGAGACCGCCGCAATAAGAAGCGCGACATGCGCTCCCTGTGGATCCAGCGGATCAACGCCGGAACCCGCCAGCACGGTGTACGTCCTTTCCCCTATTTACCTCCCCCACCCTTTCTCTGGAAAGTTATTACCTTGGGTGTGTCCACTGTGTTTGAAAAAATGCCTCACTGGACAGGCTTTAAGCTGATAATTCTTCATATCCGGAAACTATTTAATATATTGTACTGTTTCAATGGTTCTTGTGCATCGGAAGAGTGTGTATGCTTCATTTTATAGCAGTGTATGCTTTGTAGTTTTCTTGCCAAATTCGAAATATATCAGTAGCAACCAGAGTATAAGTCTCTGTGTATGGTTCTGGGGCTTTCAGAGTGTTTCTATGTATGCTTTGTAGTTCTAGTGTTTTTTTTCAAAAAAATTATACTCCGTATTTAATTTAGATGTCTTGGAATGAAGCGTAGATAAAAAAGACTATGTAGGAATACATGATGTAACAAATTGTATATTTATTTCTAGTTTAAAACTAACAAATAGAGATAAATAAGTAAAACATAAATCAATCCAACCTGACCCTCCTAACCCCCCGAACCAACCAACCAACCAACCAAACATGTCCTAAAGGATTATTTGAAGATTCACTTGCAATCATGATGATGGTAAATTGGTAATGATGATGTTGATGACAATGCTTTTCTACCATAGCCATTGATCCCTAATGTTGATAATGGGTTATGAAATAAAAATCAAAGGATCAAGTTTGTGAGTGTGTCTCTAAATCTGATAATCTAGTAGAGTTTATTATATGAGCAATGCTTGGTGTGCACACTTTTTGTACACATATGGTGTACCCCCTACTCCTAGTTGTCTATCTACAAGGCAGCTTCTGAATGAATTGCTTCTGAATGAATTGCCTGTGTAGACAGACAACTAGGGGGGTACACCATATATATACAAGTGTGTACCAACAGCATTTTGCTTATACAACTGCAGGCAATCCAGCATTAAGGCTTAAGAATCAATAAACACGCACCAGATAACTAAGTTCTCTTATTTTTCTTTAAATCCATTTGTACTTGAATGAATTAGTATACCAGAAAAACGACTTGAGTAGTGTAGAAACTAGGAGCAAGAATGATGTGCATTAAATATTACTACGTAATACACTTTTTTCTTTTGAGGTGAAGAAAAGTCTTCAGTGTAAAGAAACTGAGGCATATAGGAGTAAAATATGAATCATGTGTACAAACAAAGAGTGCATGACTCATTTTGAATGGAAGCAGTTAAAAGATCAAACTTCTTTTATGAGTGAATAAGTCCTAGTATATGAAAAATTATTATGATTGGGAAAAATGTTTTATGCCTTGGTCTTAATTATGAAATTTCCTCTTCACATACAAATTTCATTCTCTGTCTTTCCCCCCATGTCTTAAAATAAGATAATCATGTCTTTCATCCTCTGTTCCATAGCATAAGATACATTTAGGTATGGAGCTAGTTTTCAGAAAATAAAGAGTAATGTGGTTGTTTAACCATTCTAGATTCCAAAGATTAAGAATAAGTAAGATGAGTCCATAATAAGTTATAGGTGAAATGATGGATAAAATGAGAAAACAAAGAGTTACTAGAGTTCAATTTAGAAAAATGTTCATATATTTCGGATAACCCAAACAGAAAAGTGCATCATACAAAATAGGACGGAGTAAGTGGTAATTCCTAGATTAGATTTACTAATACATAGCAGTGTTCTAAAAGGCGTGAGGCGTGGCAAGGCGTCGAGGCCAAGCCTCAAGCCTTTGAAGCCTAGGCGGGAATAGGCGAAGCCTAGGCGTGAAAAGGCGTTTTAGATTTCTATTGATAATTACTATTTTATAGTAACATATGAACGAAAAGATAAATGTCCAAAATATATTACACAAGATTGAGTCTAAATTTTACTTTATTCAATATATATAATTTTGAAATGCATAAAAGTGCAAACGCAAAATGACATATTGTTGTTTTTTCGCCTTTTACCGTCTTTAAGAACATTGAGCGGAAGTAATATTACTATGAAAAAGAAGATAAAAAGTGGAATAAGTAAATACATTTTTTGTGGCATGAAAATAAGACTTACCAAATCCAATGATCAAGAAATTTTCTTAAATAGTAATACATTGCAAATAACAAAGAAAGAAGTTGATGTTATATTGTTATAAATGTGAAAAATAACATCAATATTGCTACAATATATATATATATCAATTATTATCATTAAATATTTAGTCTGTTTAAGGTGAGACTTCTTCCAGTGGAACTACTAGTTCTGGCCTGCTACGGAACTCATAAAGTGTGCCACACGGGATGATTAGAGTTTCATTTTTTTTATCTATTCAATATAAACAAGAGAATGTTTGGTTTTGCTAAGAGCGATCGTCCCACACCGGATATGTAAATGTATGCTCCTGATTCAGTCTTGTCTAAATACTCATAAGAGGAGCTTCGTAAGTCAAGTCCAGAACAAATGTCGCTACAAGCTTCACGCCTAGTTGCACCGAATCGGTCAAGGTTTGACTTTAGCCGCCTTTTGTCACGCATGGTGCCAATGCGAGGCTTTTAATCAACGCCTCCGGCCTAGGCGCGAGTAAGCGGCGCCTTTTGAGGCCTTTTAGAACACTGATACATAGTGATGATTAAGAAGATGATACACAACCTTATTAATCTTTTTCGCTGTCTACTATATTTACAATTTTACTTCACAGGTGAACTATGGCAATTTTATGCATGGGCTGATGAAGGAAAATGTGCAGCTGAACAGGAAGGTTTTATCTGAGATCTCTATGCACGAACCATATAGTTTCAAAGCCTTGGTTGATATCTCCCGAGCTGCTTTCCCCGGCAATAAGCCGCCAGCCATCCCACCTCTCCAAGAAAAGAAGGGTCTTTCACTTCTTGTTTAATCTTTATTCTTTAAAGCACCAATTGTACTTCTCATTTAGATGCCCCCCTCCCGGACTTGTGTTTGTTTGCGTTGGCTGATTATGGAGGAAAAAAAGTTGAGCCCCACCTACATTTGATGACTAGCTTTCAAGTCTACAACTTGTACACCTCTGAGGTTGTCTGGTAGTGAGACATTCATAAGTAGATGGTTAGGCGCATGGATTTAAAATTCAAATTGCAACGTCTGATACTGCCTCAATTTTGCGGTTGCGAGCAGTAGTATAATACTCCAAACAAATTACCAAATACAGAGTATAAAATATAAATAAAACTAAAATACATCCAAACAAATTACCAAATAGGAGCACATTTGCAGTATGAGCATACATGCAATAAATTCTTATGTGTGGGGAGACCCATACCGCAATGGAGGGCAGCATGTATTGGTGGCAGTTTACTTTGATGATTTTGATCTCGATCCTGAATAGTTTGATATACTTGTATAAAAAACAAGCATTAATTCCATTAATGAATGATTGATATTTGTACAGGCAGTTAAACATGAATGATAAATCCATTAAATGAAATACAGAGGAAGATAAAAAATAAAAAGTACTCCTCAATAATCAATATATCTTCTTTTAAGTCATGAGTTCGTGAGTGAAAAACTATAGGATTAAGCATGCCTTACAAGACAGTGTTGTAGGGCGAATGCCTTTCAAGTGATCACAAAGTGTGTCATAAAGATTGTATTGCTCATGTAAGTGCTTGCACTTGCATAAAAGTTGTCCATGTATTCCATTTCTTTGGGGTAGTAAAAAATCAAAGTCAATATAGTTATTTTTCAATATCTTAGTATTGATAAGAAAAAACTTCTATTTTCCAAAGTTTTGCTTCAATCAATTATTCCATCGTGGTTATCCATGTCAATTATTTTATATGATGATGATTGCAAGGTGTGGATTGTTTTCTGACTTCTTGTTGTGTGCATTTCTAGAATGATATATAAAAATCACATTTTAATTTATGTTTAGACTTACCTTACCTCGTGAGTAAGTATTAACGTAAAGTCCAGTAGTTCAGATTTTATTTGTCATAAAATGATAAAGTTATGACAAATTTTAACTTGCAATCCCCCATAATTTTTTGCCCGCCAAACAGTCATAATCGTTGGACGCTTCATTCCCCTTCTAATGTTGAGCCATATTTTTCGCCATGTTAGTTAGCGCATCACTATTTTTTTTTTTTTGAAATATAATAGGTGGGACTAAAATGACACTTAACCAATTAATTTGAATCTCATGTAAATGATCAGTTCATTTCGCCCATTCATTTCAATTATGAAACTAAATTCATGTATATTGGTGACGAGTAGAAGACGAAAGAATTAGTTTACGAAAATTGTTAGAGAGATGAGAGGTTGAAAATATGTATATGTATCAATTCATTAATACTCATAGTAGAGCATGTTTTTTAAATTTCACATGAACTAGTGAAAGTTTTAAATACATCTAAAATTTGATGCATTTTAAATTTAGGTTAAAAATATACTAAACCTTAAAATTGATCAATTGTAAAGGACAGGTTAGTAATTTCAGCCATAGTTCCACACTACGTATATACGTAGTATTAGTGTAGGATTAGTCGATTAGATATCATAATAGTCTTCTCGGAATCAAGGTTAGAGGGATCAGCAGCTCTGAATAGTCCTTTTCATCTTCAATGGGGAAGAAATCGAAGGGCGTAAAAAAAGCTTTGAGGCTCAAGGTTTTTTTTTTCTTTTTCTTTTTTTCTTTTTCCAAATCTTGGAAATAATACCCCGAATATGTTTGGAATTGAAAATCTTTTCCATGTTTCATTCTTTTCCCATATGTACAATGCATGCGCCTTTTCTCCTTCCATGAAGTCTGTCACTGTGTGTTTCCTTGATGTTGGCCTAAAACCTGTGGTCTGTGTGTTGAAAATCTAAGTAATTAATAGTTAGATTCATTCCGTTTGAAAACTTAATTGATACGTAGTATTATAATCTAAGTTAACCGAATTCAATATTTTATTCATCTGTTCATCGCTTTCATCCGGATTCATTCGGTTTTGGACTTTTTGTTACCCTGCATGGGGATTAATCAGAGTGAACGTTAACTTGTATTTTTCATTTACAACCCAGAAAGCAATTTTAATTTCTTTCACGAAGGCAGAATTAAGATTATCCAAATAACATCTACAATTCTATTTCTCCGAATCTAGGTTATTTTTAAAGTTTATTGTGTGTAACCTAGGTGCCTCAATCCAAAAGGAGCCCTGAAATGAAGGTTGAAAGGTTTATTTAGTTGTGTATTTCTGAATTGCATAGACTTTTTTTCTAAGTTTAGATTTAGGAGAAAACTTGAGAAAATATGTAAATTGACTGAAATATGAGGGAGTATCAAGATTCTAGACTGGTGTTTGCGTTTATCAATTATGATTTTTTTCAGTTATTATGCCTTGAAGTTTGTCTCAGCGGTTGAGAATTATTTTTAATTTTCTCAAGTGTAATAAGAAAACTTAAAATGAATATATGCAGGCTGATGAATTTAACCACAACAAGGCATTAAATCTATCGATACCAACTTTAAAGACGATAAAATTTAAGAACACTAATGAGTCTAATGTTAGAAGATCTGGCCGGCTTCAAATGCATACCTCACCAGTCGTTGCAAAACCTGTTGTTGAGGAAATCGATCTTACTGATAAGAACACTGTGGAGGAAATGAACACCGTAAATGAAGAACATGCAAGCATTGATCAACTTATGGATGAAATTGATAAAGGTGATGGAATACCCGATGAGGAGATTAACGCTAATCCAACCGAAGAACTGATAAGCACGAAAGAGAAATTTGAGTTCCTTTACAAGACAGCAAAAGAATTTGAAAACTCAAAGGTGTGTGTGCAAGTGTGTTTTAACTTTTATTTCTCAGTGGTGCAATATACTAATCTAAGTACAATCCTTACCTAACTTCTTGAACAGACATTCAAACGACCCTCCTCAAGTGAAACTACTTATGGGGATCTCAACTACAGAAGCTTGTATATTGCCTCTCAACAAAAGGTAAGCTTATTACTTATTAGTTACACACGAAGTAAAATTTATTTTACCCATTGCAAGTGTTATCTCATTTTGGATATTCTTTTAGATTGAGGTGTTGACCGAGGAAAACTCTAAACTTGCCAAGAAATTGGAATTTGCTCTTGGGAAGATTGAAGCTGTGAGTTTAACAAAGCTTTGTACTGTTAACCAAACTTATTTTATCTCAACTTTTTTTGGAATAGGTAAATGTAATGGTGTAGCCAAGACCCCAATTTATTTGAATTTGGGATGTGCCGGGAATATAATGCATTCATGTATATTTTCTGCATGAAATTTTTATTTTACAGAACTTGGGGTGGGTCTGCTCAGAGTTCGCCACTCCTGTAAAATGACAATATGTTATTTGTCCATATGTACAGTACGAGAAGATGAATGGTATCGTTGGAAAGCCGAAAGATATGATGCTTCTTACAAATCTATCTCAAATAATGGCCGCTGCTGCATCACCTATCCTAGCTCTAAAGACACCTGGGGAAAACTGTGGCAGTGATGGTCAACCTAGCTCTAAACCTTCTCCTCAACCAAAGGCTGGGCAAAAACATGCACCAAGTTGTAGCAAAAGGAAAAAAAGTTCTTAATTCTCAAGTTGTTGACTTGTAATGATTAACTCAACTGGCTATTTCGTTGTTAGGATAGTAATGATTGACTTAACTACCTTTTTGACGCCCTTAGTGTAAAGGGGTTCATATTTTGCAGTTTCTCGGTAGTTGAGAGAACAATGGTATGATGCAGGAAACGTAATACTCTGTATATATATGCATTAATGCATGACTTGGAAAGAACTTAACGTTTATTTTACATCTTTTGTCCCCCCCCCCCCAATTCAGTGAAACATTATTCTTTTTTTTTGTTTAATAATTTCTGTTCCAAACAGATGATGATAACTATTGATAAAACCAAACCGTTGCATTCTGCCACTGAGAGATTGTGAGAAGCACGTAAGCTTATTATACTTGTTTGGAATGAACTTGTAATTGTTGTTTTTTTAATTCAAGTTTTTTTTTTGTCTTTTTAAAAAGCTCTTTGCAATAAACTATAAACCTTCACTAGGGTTTTGCCATAATATTTAGTATATTAGTACAAGAGAGAGCATTGTTAGTACAAGAGTTGCATTCAGATTACTATAAACATGACAGATTACTATGAATAGCAAATTTGGCTAATCACTGATAACAAGAAGTAAAAGATGTTCACAGGTTCTCCTATGAACAGACTTGTTTATTCTTCATTGTGAGACTGAGTCAATCACTCTTGTTTTCTGTTGCTAATATTCATCGTAGCACTCGTCAAGGCATTTGAAGACTCCTAATAAATCTCTAGGATGAGAAGATACCAACTCTCTGCCTTCTTCAATCCCATCATTTTGCTCATCATCTGGTGAGTCCAAGCTCATACCCATTCCTCTCAGTAAGTTCTCATAAGAAGCAGACATTCCTTCAGAGGCAAACTGGTGGTACTCCACTAGATGCCTAAGGCATTGGTTCTCCCTATTTAAACTTGCATTCTCATTTGCAAGCCTTGATTTCTCCCCCAAAAGTGCCTCCAATTGCAATCTAACCTACAATATACACACAACACAAAATAAGTATACGCATTACATTAGCCCTCCAAACACACCCTCCTCCTATTCAGTATATTATTTTCAGTTTTGGGGCATGGCTCTGAGTTTTTGACACTTCCAATCCCCATGACGATTTCACTATCTAATTTTTAGTCACTTTTTTGGAGCATTTTAAAATGAGTTCATGCGCTTTCTTTATTTTGGTCATATTTATGTAATTATTTCTTAGGGATACCAATCCCTAACCTCCTCTCCAAAAAAGTGACTAAAATTTCACTTTTAATACTAAAGTGACATGCCTCGGCCCTCTCTGCGAATGACAGTGCCAATTTTTGTTGAAACCATCCAAAACTAGCGGACGTCAGTTCCTAACGATTATCTTTTAGTGATTTTTTCTGAGAAGTGTTCATCTGAAGGGTTCACATAACAACCGTCGTGGGAGGCGAAAGATAGTGTTGTTGCTAGATAGTAGGGATTCAGGAATGTGCATGTAGTTTAAGTTGGAAATTATTTTTAACAAAATAACAATTAGTCAATTTTTTTTCTACTGGAACTATAGGAGCAATACTATAGTCATTATTTCCTAATACTTTAGTTATTATTATTATATCATAAAGTTAATATCTCCTTGATTAATTAAGAAATTGCTCCAAATAAGACTAGAACATGGAAAAAGTGCACAAATAGGATACTTATGCTTTATTCCCAAAATAGGACTTGTTTGATCCTATTACAAGTATAAAACTTCCTCAATAGGAGTGTTTGACACCGATTTTAGGAAAAAACAATGGTGATTCTATTTATACATTTTGCCTATATTTTAATCCTATTTAAAGAATTTTCTCTTAACTAGTTCATTATGTATCACTAATCCCCTAGCACCTACCTAGCTCATGTACCCCCCGAACCATACAATAGGTGGGAGTGAAAATGAATAAAGTGACAAGAAACCAATAATAGTGTAGCAAACGTGGGAATAAAGCAAAGAGAATTTGATCAAAAGTTAATGCCACCCTTCGTTATAAAAAAGAGGTAACAGATAAAGGTTTAAAATGTGGATGTAAGAAAGTTTACCAGATCATCATCTTCTTCTGGTGGGACTAGTCCCTCAGGAATTCCATTGCGGAGCTTTCTGTTCTCTTCCTCCAAGAACGAGCACCGGTCTTGTACAAAGCATAGATCGGATTTTAATGACTTCAATTCTCTAGCAAATGCAGCCGCTCTTGCCGCCATTGAAATTGCAATCTGTACATATATGCACAAAGGCCATTAATCCTATGTGGGTTTACAAACAGTCTATATAAAGAATGAATTAGATATAACTAAAGAGAGACTTACAGTTCTGGCTTTCTTGAGCTTCCCCAATTCCTTGGCTCTCTTCACATTCTCATCCTTAGTCTCATCACCCCCACAATTTTGAATTTGACCATCTGAACTTTCAAACTTCCTCTTTGACCCCTTGTTCTCTATCTCCTCATTCCCATCTTCTTCTACTGGTTTATTATTTTCTCCATTTTTGTACTTCTCCAAATTGGAGCTAAGTATTTCTGTTAATGTGGATGGGTTTGCTAGATCTCTTGCCCCCTATTAACACAGCACACAGAAACCAATTGCTAATATTTGCTGAAACTTAGGTCAATTTGGAGTCAACGGCTGAGATTAATTACCTGAAGGGCATTTTCAATATTGTCAGAAAGCTGAGAAAGAGTGGAAGAAACTGAATCAAACCCTCTGAGAAGCAGCAAAGCATCATCTTTCATTCTCTTCGAACTTTCTTCTGCTCCTCCTGTCTGTACACATTTTTTTTATCAATCCATTCAGCAAAAAAGAATCAAAATTGAAACCGACCCAGAAGAAAAACAAAAGTAAAAAGCTACAAACTTGATCAGTGGATTCGCGCTTTTCTATGAGAGTATCAACCCGCCTACGAAGGGTGCTCCAGAAGTGTTCGTTTGAAGATGGAGAGGGACCCATAGGTCTGGGTGATGATGATGATCCCTGCAAATGAATTTTTAAGGATAAAATCGTGTTTTTTGAAAAGAGATTCTTAGTTCAGAGAAAAGTTTTTCAACGAATCACCTCGATGAGAGGAAGAGGAGTTGAAGATGATTCCACTGCGATTGCCATAATAGATCTTGTGGGTTTTAACAGAGAGAAATCAAGAGATAAAGAGGGAGAGAGAAGGAGACGAAGTAACAAGAGCAGATAAAGTCGAGTTTATAACGGCTATTTTAGCATTTAAATAACTGGGAGATTAAGCTTGTTTGGTCTTTTGACTATTTCGCATCCAACGGTTGAATGCTACAACCTTCTAAAATTGAGCTTGCAATTAATATCACTCCGGTATTTCTCATCAATGTTGCGACTATTAAGGATGTTTGGTTTGATAGAAATTTGTGGCTCTGATTTGGTCTAGTAAACGTCTGATCTCTGTGTATTTTATTATTATAGAAGTCTAGTCTGATCTTATCTGATCTGTCCTGATCTAAGATTGAAAACAATCCAAAAAAACATCCTAAAGGAACAAAACAAGGGTACTTAAAGAATTTTCAATAAGGTATTTTCAATATTATCTTTTATCTCCTAAACTAACTTGTCAATTATCGTTGCTCTCTACCGGTAATTTCTGAAACTTCCGTGGAAATTGATGGGAAAATAATTGAAATAATGTTTGTCAATAATGTAGTCTAATAATTTTGGAAGACTTGTTTCAAATTTGAAGATGAGGCCTCATTTTAGCGATTCACGTTAATATGTTGAAAAGTAGCAAGCATTGCTCAAGACAATAAAACTCAAACGTACGTACTTTATATTTTTGGGTATTTGGTTTCAGTTGTCTATGTGCTAATTTCTTTGCGGATGAAGACTTCTGCTCAGACCAGACCAAGTCATATTAAACCTAAAAAGAACATACTACGTGTTACAGTATTAGATAATACTACGGATTAGATTAGATCATACATGTACAATAGTAAAATACATATACACCAGTGTTTACTAGTTTAGATGAGATCATAATTAAACAGATCAAATCAAAATATAAGTTCAATTAAAAAGGGAAATGAATACACACAACCCTTACACTATAGGCGTGAGAGCTAGCATATAAAACCCTATTCTATTGATTAAAACAAAAACTAAGAAAATCATAATATGAAATATTGGTAGTGCTCCATTAATAAATCCATCAGATCTAAAAATAAAGATTGAAGCAGTTACATTGATAGTATCTTCTCCACTTATGTAAACAGAGGTAAACCTCATTCAAATGCAGATATGCATTCAAACTATTACTGATCTTACACTTTTGAATGTAGATATATTGTATTTTTTTGCAATGAGATGGATAGCGCTGCAAAAACTAGTTTGAATGCACATTGTAAGGAGTAAGATCTAACGATCAAGTAAGATCTCACACTGACCAAGTATGAGATTGGTCGGTGGCTTATAAACTAACTGTCCTCTCCTCTTTTTGACTAATCTCTTAGGAGTGAGTTCTACAGTGAGCTTATGTCCTTGATATGGATCTAATATGGACTAGGTCTATAACATAGGAATGAGGAAACTGAGTGGCTATTTGTTTGCACAGCCTTGGATTTTTATTTTATGAATTTGAGAATTCTATAATGTTTGGGATGGTGAAACACTCAGATCATACTTGATGTCCCTTTTAGTGTTTGCAAAAGCACGTGAATGAAACGAAGATGTATTACTTAATTACATAAAATGACATAAATTACTTCCTTCACTTTTAGCAAGTAAAAAATGAATACGTACTGGTTATAAATTTACAATCAAGAATAAAGGTAGGTTAGTATGCCTGCATTCAATTAATTGTCAATAGCTTATTTTTTTATTCATCAATTGTGCATAAGAGTTATGATATGTAATTATGTTCATCTACATATTTTCAAAGCAAAATAATGCTTCAAAATAATTATCTGTGTAACAATTATATATATAGCTCACCTATAGTTGCACGTTTAGAGCATGCATACTAAAAGTTCTGATGGAGTTTAATCCAACTACGAGAGCTAAATCAACGAGAAATCTCAAAATATGGCAGCGTAAGGCGGTATTATTATTATTCTGGAGAACCAATTGACCGATCCCTTGATAGGGAATTTACAGGAAGTATTTATAGATTCTAGGAGCTAGTATCTCAAGAGGAAACTGATACAATAAATGCTATTAATTATATTTTAGTCGAATAAGTCTCCTACA